GAGATTCTGTCTCAGAAAAAAAAAGACAAAAGAAAATCAGTCAGATTTACTTCAGCCTCAAGGAGTGTGCTTATGTAAAACTGAATGAGCACTGGCAGACAACTGCACTTTTTTTTTTTTTTTTAAAATGGGAAATGGATTAAGGATGCTGAATATAGGCTCCCTGTCTCCTCTGGGAGAGGAGTGTACACGCCTGGGATGTTTCTGGGTATTTTCATCCTTTTCTGCTATCAAACATTACAGTGTGTTCTGCCTTTTACTGTCTTGCCTCAGGGATGTTCACATAGCCCCACTATCTGTCAGGAACTTCGGGTAACAGGATAACAGACCCCGGTTAATGGACTGCCCCTGGTGGCGGGGGTGGGGACATGGGTTTCATCGTATATCATGTTGGCTTCTGAGTCTTTCTCCAGCTGGCACACGTAGCTTGCAAAACTTGCTGTCTCACTTGGCAAACAGAGGCTGGGCAGTCAGCACAGCACCTTCCACCGGTAAATGGTGTGCAGTAAAACCGTTTTGCTAACCAGGTGCAGATGGTGGCCTCTCTCCAGAGCAGGAGGAACTATTGTGTCTGCAGAGCCGCTCTCTTCCTCCTCCACCACCACAGGCTTGCTGTAATGCACTCGGGATCCAATTCCAAGCTCTTGGGAGGACTTTCTATGCAGTGTGATTGTTACTCCTTTTTGTGGTTTTGTTTTTGTTGTTGTAGTTTATATTGCTGCTGTGGCATCTGGCCACAATGTTCCTCCATATACCTGCCCCCGGGAAAATCACGAAAGAATGGCCTGAAAAGAATGTGAGGGTATTCAAGGGTATGGGAGGGTGGAGTGTATGGTAGATGCACCTGTGTATGGCAGACACACCTGACAGCAACAGCTAAATGTTAGCCTCCCTTGAGAATGAGCCTGTATGGCAGATGTAGCTGACAGCAATGAGGGTTGCTAGGTGGGGGTTGCCGGGTGGAGGGTGTTAAGTGAAAATGCTATATGAACTGCTTGCTTTTTGCAAGCAGTTGTGGTTCTCCTTGCGTGTTTTTGCGCGTGGTAATGGTTCTTCTGTCCGTCCCACCACCACTGGACCATCCGTGTATATCAGTCCCCCTCAGTAAAGCCTATGTCTCATTTTTTGGCTCCAGGTCTCTTCTTTGGTCTGTTGGACATGATGCCATTCCTACTGGAGTCCATAGGGGTCCAGCTTGATAAGGGCCAGCAGAGAATGCCATGTTTCAGGATGCTGATTTGTGACCTTCACCTTGGACCATAAGTATTTGTGTTGTGATCACAGCGCTGAGTGTAAGGGACTCAGTGCTGTGCCTGCTTTCTCTAGCTGAGTGCTACCATAATGGTCTAGGAGAGGCAGCATCAGCATGCAAGAAGCCAATTTGTAGACCCGTTCTAAACCTCTGGAATCACATTACTTAGACTAGGGCCTGGAATACCAAATTATTTATCTGTACATTGAGACTCGAGGGGTAATACTTAGCTAAGTGGCTCTCACCCCAGGCTTCAATTAGTATGACATGGCCAGTTTAAAGAAATACTGTCACCTCTGTGCTTCCCTCCCCGATTCTGTCTGTTGGTCTGGGTGGGAGCATCCATATTGTTTTTAGTGTTCCGGATGATTCTAAGTGAAGCCAGGGCCATGCATGAGGGCTCCCAGATATATTCATGAGAGTTGAGTTCAGCCTTTGTTGCAAAGAAAGGTTACAGGGCCTGCTCTGCTTGGGTTTGGTAGAGGTGGGTCAGTGTGGCCCATATTCCCGTGGCTGCAGCGGCAATTGCTGGAGTCTTTGGAGGACAAGGGCACCGGAAAACAAAGAAACACACATTTTGATCTTTATGTAGGAGCTCATTGTTCCTGACTCTTTCCTGTGATAAAAGGACAGGGAGGGTGTACTTTTTATGAACCTCTAGGATTTTCTTCCTGTGGATGTGGTGGTAGTAGGGGAAAGTGTTGTGCCGACCCTTTTAAAGGCTTACAGGATGCAGGTGTGATTGGCCCAGAGACTCTCACCTGAGAAGGAATCCCAGAAATGGAGGAGGAAGACGAAGAAACGAATGGTTCTCAGGAGAATGTGTCCGGATTCAGGGACTGTGTCCACTTTTTTTTTGTGGAATGTCATGTGTTTAGAACCCACAAATATGTCTCTACTTCTGATGTTCCTGCCTAACTTACTCCCCCGAACCTTTTGTTGTGATAGTCAGTGAGCTCTGTACACTCTTTCTCCCCTATATCCCAGAGCCTTCTTTCTTTCTTTTTTTTTTTTTTTTGAGACAGAGTCTCGCTCTGTCGCCCAGGCTGGAGTACAGTGGTGCTATCTCGGCTCACCGCAAGCTCCGCCTGCCGGGTTCACACCATTCTCCTGCCTCAGCCTCCTGAGTAGCTGGGACTACAGGCACCCGCCACCATGCCTGGCTAGTTTTTTGTATTTTTTTTTAGTAGAGACGGGCTTCACCATGTTAGCCAGGATGGTCTCCATCTCCTGACCTCGTGATCCACCCACCTCAGCCTCCCAAAGTGCTGCTATTACAGGCGTGAGCCTCATGATCCACCCACCTCAGCCTCCCATAGTGCTGCTATTACAGGCGTGAGCCACCACGCCCAGCCGATTGTAATTTAATTAAGGTAACTTTTCGTGTAATTGTTATGTAATTTTTTCAGTAATTTACTGGGCAATAATTTATTTATATTCAGTAATAATTTACTGGCCAAGAAAGCAGCAGTGATGTTGTACCTCTTGTGTGTATTAACACACGATGCCAATTTTCCTATTGTAATTTATGTTAATTTTATTCACTTGAATAAAGTGCTGTCTGCCAGAATTTTCCACCGTAGGGTTAATTATTTTTCCTTTTGTTATTAATAAGTATTTTGGGGAGATTTACTGATTGATGTACATAAATAATCACAATTAATCGGGAAGCTTCTTTTTCTCTTTAGATTCTCTTTGCATACAGCTTTCTCTAGAAAATGAAGGCTCTTATGTTTGCTTACTGGTCGAATCAACTGGGATGAATGTAGGCTCTGCTATTTACTGGATGTTTGACAAAATATTCTTCTTGAGCCAGAAGCATAGGCGCCGCTGGCTAGCCTGTTAGAAAGTCAGAAATTCAGGCTTCATCCCAGATCTGCTGAATCAAAATCTACACTAAAAAAAAGAATTTTTTTTTTTTTCCAGATGGGTTTCACTCTGTCATCCAGGCGGGAGTGCAGTGGCGTGACCTGAGCTCACTGCAACCTCTGCCTCCTAGGCTCAGGAAATTCTCTTATCTCAGCTTCCCAAGTCACAGGGACCGCTGGCATGGGCCATCATGGCTAATTTTTGTATTTTTTGTAAAGATGAGGTTTCGCCATGTTGCCCAGGCTGGTCTCAAACTCTGGAACTCAAGTGATCCACCCACCTCGGCCTCCCAAAGTGCTGGGAATAGAGGCATGAGCCACCATGCATGCATTTTATTTGTTTGTTTGTTTGTTTTTTGAGATGAAGTTTCACTCTTGTTGCCCAGGCTGGAGTACAATGGCGTTATCTTGGCTCACTGCAATCTCCACCTCCTAGGTTCAAGCAATTCTCCTGCTTCAGCCTCCCAAGTAGCTGGGATTATAGGCGCCCGCCACCATGCCTGGCTAATTTTTTGTATTTTTAGCAGAGATGGAGTTTCACCGTGTTGGCCAGGCTGGTCTTGAACTCCTGACTTGCGGGTGATCCACCCACCTCAGCCTCCCAAAGTACTGGGATAACAGGTGTGAGCCACTGCACCCAGCCCGTGCCTGCATTTTAACAAGATTTCTACTTCATTGACATACTTGTTAAAATTTGAGAAGTACCTTCTAACTCACCCTGACTTCTCTATGTGAGAACAATACACGACTTATCCTATAGGATGTGAATATATCAGTGCTTGAGTTGACGCCCTTAATTTTATACTATATTATGCACAAAAGTAGAGTATCTACACTGGTTTGTGGATCTTTTTTGTTTGTTTGTCTGTTTTGAGATGGAGTCTCGCTCTGTCCCCTAGGCTGGAGTGCAGTGGC